CAGGCGGAGGTTCTAGGAGCTGGGGAAGCTCTTGCGAGACGGCGGTGCTGGGCCATGGGCCACAGACGGACTCACGGTAGCGGCCCAATAAGCAATGGAGGTTGAAGAAGAGGATACCCAAACTATCCTGAAGCGGCTTGTATTAGCATAGGGATATACCGGAAATGTACCACGGCCGTCCGGGGTAGAGTTGTAATACGACGCATTAGTAAGCAGTGTCCTATAAAAAAAACAAATCCTGTAAAAGGAGGGACATCGACTAAAGTTTAGAACCAGGAACAAACACTCTCTTATTGTGCCTGTGCAACCATCACTCGCGAATAGTAACGCGCGCTGGTACGTGTAGATAGACGTCGCTTGGACGTACAGAACAGAAGCCGGCCGGGCGGGGCGCGATGCGACCGTCGCACCTACTCCTACCCGGCCCCTTCGATCGAGCTACAGAAGATCCGTTTACGCGTCCGAATTCGATCGAAAGGGAGACCGTACCGTATGTATAGTGCGAAAACGTAACAGGCATCGGCTACACATGCGCCCCGGCCGGGGCGGTCCGCGCGCGTACAGCGGTCTGAATGGCAGGTGAAGGGAGTAAATCAGCGGACCTACCTCGTGGTTCACGTTCGAGCCCGGCCATTCGCCGAGCCGCGTTTATTACTGCAGTCTTGCCGGTGGCAGCAGCATCAGTGTATAGCCAGCTACTCGATCAGCCAGGGCATGCATGTGTGCGACCGGCCCCGGATCAGCAGGCGTGCGCGTGATTGGCTCCTCGGATTACCTCCGTCCTGGCTAGGGCGTCGAGGCTACTGTCCGCCCGCGTGCACCACACCACGAGTATGGTGCAGGTTTTTGTCCGCTCAATGCTGGCTGATAGATTGACTGGACAAGTTAGCCCTTGTTTAGTTGGGTGAATTTGGATTTTGGGATTACTGTAGTACGTTCATTTTTATTTGGCAAATAGTGTTTAAATATAGACTAATTAGGCTCAAAACGTTCGTATCTCAATTTCCCACCAAACTGTGCAATTAGTTTTTATTTTCGTCTATATTTAATGCTCTATGCACGGACCGTAAACATTCAATATGGCAGATACTGTAGCAACCTTTTAAACTTTGATGTCCAACTAAACAAGGCGTTAGAATGCACATGCAAGCGGAGGCGGCCATCCTATTGGCGCCCAAGCCAATGTCATATTTTGTGTGCCATCGACCCAGCTAGACGTGCAAAGTGCATGCTTTGGTCCGGTGAATGGTGACTGACAGATTGACTGGACAAGTTAGGGCATCTACAGCCCTATAGACAGCTGATGTCGGTAAGTAGACAACTTGTACAGTGTTGATCGTACATTTAAATGTCTATCTATCTATGATCAACTGTAAATAAGATCTATATATGCTATGTTATTGCTTATTTTTAATATATACCTATATCTATCTATGATCAAGCGTAAATAAGGTGTATGTATGCTATTTTATTGCTTATTTTGATATAAGTGATAACAAACATAAATAAGATAATCATCTATCCCTAATAACAAAGAGGCAAAATTTCTTGCACATCTAAATTTTCGTCCAACCTAATAATCCCGAAGTGACTCGACTTCGACTTCTGCGTGTTCTAAGATTTCCTGAATAGAAATTCTGTTCGAATCAGTCCGAGCGTCGTCCTGGCCTTTTGGGTCCTAGCTGGAGCCAAAATGAGGAACATAAAAGGAAAAGAAAAACTGCAATGAAATAAGAAAATCCCGGAACGAAAAAACACGGGAAAGACACGGAAAAGGAACACAGGACGGAAAAAGGGAAATATGGAAGAAAACCGAAAAGAAAAAGGGAACTGAACATAGAAAGGAAAAAAGCAAGCGTGAAAAATAAAAAACGTGAGAAAATATACACGAAACCGAAAACATAAAACCAAAAAAACAATCGGAACACAAAAGAGAAAAAAAAACAATCGGAACGCAGGAAGCCAACAGCATGCCGACACGAGGGGAACGAAACGAAAACCAACTGGACACGGGAACATAACAGGACCCGTGAAAGAAACACCAGCGAAAAGACGAAACAAAAGAAATAAAAACGAGGTGGGAAAAAAGGGGGAAAAGACAAGACAAGAAAAGAAAAGATATAAAAGGAAAAAAGGACTAAATCAGGAAGCTCTTTGTGGTTTAATTTTGAGGTAGGTAAGATAAGATTAGAGTAAGATTTGTCTAATATGACCGTAAATTAAAATGTTGAGTTGTTTGCTATCCAACCCAGTCTAAATTAATATGTTTATGCATTTTACACATGTAACGGTGCAAACCTGACGAGTGCCACCACATGTAAAATAGAGAGAAGTCTCGATCTTGTCATAATCATCCCAGTACTTTATATATCGGCAACTAATTTCTTGTCGACTTGAATCAAATGTTAGAATAATACTTTTATGGGTCTTCATCAAAGGAAGCACAAAAATTGATATTACTGTAATAATACATGTATAGTATGAAAATTATAGCTATGATATATTTACGATTAAATATTTTTGTGTTTTGTATGGGAAAAAACTTTCAAAAGTGTACTTTTGTATACAAAGACGTGCTATAATTGATATAGGTTTAATAAAACATTATCATATTATTAGCATCATTAACTTATACCATGGATCAAAATAAATTATAGCTTTAAAAGTAAAACATAAATAGATGTATGCAGTTCCTGTTTTTGTTTCCTTTGAATATTTGATTGCTTATTTTCTCTCGTTACAACGCACGGGTATATTTGCTAGTAATAATAAAAATATTAAGAATCATCAGTACAGTACATATTTTGTACATATTCGTTATATCAAGCTGGGCCATTCTTCACAAAAGCATGATAAGATGGTTCCGATAGTACTGTACGTATGTAGGAGCATGCAGTCTACCTATTGTCGCGCCAGTGGCAGGCTTTGGGGTTTGCACTTTTGAGCCTCTCAGGTCTAGCTCATCAGTCGGCAGAGAGTTGTGCATGTAATATGTATACGTAGTACTACGAACTTGTTTAGTTTGCGGTTACGAATCAATATTTGATATTGTAGCATCCGTTTGTATTTGATAATTATTGTTCAATCATGGTCTAACTAGACTCAAAAGATTTATCTCATAATTTACAATCAAACTATATAATTAGTTATTTTTTTTATCTATATTTAATACTCCATATATGTATCTAAAGATTTGATGTGATGGAGAGAGAGTAAAAAAACTTAGAATCTAAACCAGGCCTACCTTCGAATGAACGAGTACTCCTAGTGCGGTAGTGCTCCTGTGTCCTATTCCGGCTCTCAGCGGCACAAGAAATTTGCGCACACGTGACCAGGTACTCCCACCGTCCCAAAAATAAGGGTAGTTTTTCTTCCTAAAGAGTCAAGCGTTTTCAACTTTGATCAAATATATAAAAAAATATTAATATTTATATTACATAATTAGTATTACTAGATACATCGCTAAATTTATTTTTATAATAAACTTATTTATTGAATGTATCATTATTGTTAATATTTTTTAAAAATTTAGTCAAACTTAAAAAAATTTAAGTGACATGATTATCATAAAAGGCACTTGTTTTGGGGACGACGATGCCTACAACGAGGGCTTCACCGTCGGTGAGTTCTGGGAGCCGCCCCCTTGGTCGCCTCATGAAACGACGACCATCCTCTCCCTCCTCATTAAATTGCCTCTAGGAAGGACTAATTTTCAAAAAGGAAGCTAAATAGAGAGCCTAATAATGACCGTTATGGCCCTGTTCGCTGGGAGAAATTTGAAGGAATCTACAAGAGAGTGAACAGTGTTTTTCATCCGCGCACAGTGAAATCCGGCTGGTTTTTCAACCAGCCGAACGAGCCCTATACGTGCCCGTAGAATGCAGCTGCAAGCGGCCATCCTATTGGCGTGCAAGCGAATTTCATTTTTTGTGTGCCATTGATCCCAGGCAGCCAGACGTGCAATGCAACTATGCAAGGGGGGAATCTTGCAGGACGAGGGGAGGGAGGCAAGAAAATCATACTATGCGGCCTCGCTCTAGCTAGGCCTGGTTGCACACAATCACGGGCTCACGGCGCCGGCCTGTTGGCTGGTGGCCGAGGAGCGAGGATGCGCCAGGGCAGGACAAGGCCAACCAAATCAAATCATACGTTTTTTTTTTTTTTTTGCTTAAATTAACCAACCTGACTATGGTCGGGTCGTGGATCGATCAGTATTTCAGTAGCGAGCACTCCACGTTGCTACTGAGATGCGCAGTGACAGTGCTGGTACATTCGCTACAGGAGACAATAAAGCGCGGGGGGCGCCGCTGCCTACGTAGTAGTAGTAGTACTATAACATAGCAGGAGATAATAAAGCGCGGGGGGCGCCGCTGACAACGTGGTCGCTGGCGAGGCCGCTTGAGCGGACGGTGGTGCGGCCTCGCGCCACGGCGCCCACTTTGCCGGGCGCGCCCACGTGCCCGCGCCAGCAGCCACACGTACGGCCGCCGCGGTCCGCTAGGTACTCGCTCGCTCCCCACTTACCGCGTTCCCCCACGTCGTAACGGACCGGCCGGTCCGTTACGTGGAAGCACTAGCGTACCCCGTTTGGGTGCACACGCCACTGCTATATTATGGGCGGCCGTGGCGTGGCCTCGCTAGCCAGCGCGCACACACACACACTGCGAGCTGAGAGCGTGTGTCCGGCTCCCTTCCGCGCGGCAAGGAGCGAGCGAGCGAGCGCGGCCGGGTACTAGTGTACTACGGTCACCAACTCCCTTGGACGCACGCGACCTGCTAACCGTGCGCAGTAGCGTGGGAGCTAAGCTAGTGCGAGTGAGAGTGGGCACCCAGCAGCTCCGCGGGTACGCCGCCGGGGTCTCGCTCGATCGGCGGTACCAGGTACTACGGTGTGATCAGCGGCCGGGCCGGGGAACGTAACCACGCTATAGCTAGCTAGCTGCGGGCGAGGGCAGACGTCGTTGGGGGGATCCGATCGATCCGGCCGGCGGCGGCGCGCGATGGGGAGGGCGCCGTGCTGCGACAAGGTGGGGCTCAAGCGTGGGAGGTGGACGGCGGAGGAGGACCAGATACTCGCCAACTACATTGCAGAGCACGGCGAGGGATCCTGGAGGTCGCTGCCCAAGAATGCAGGTAACCATTTGCAAGCAAGCTATACAATATATAGACGCCACGCACGCATCATCACTTACCAGCAGCTCTATCTTGCAACTCCGATCCATCTTGTCCGTCGTCCGATCCTTAGGTAGCTAGCAGCACTAGCAAATGATGATATGATTAGCCCGCCGCCGCACTTTATTAAGATCTTTCTGCTGGTGGTACGGTGATGTGCAGGGCTGCTCCGGTGCGGCAAGAGCTGCCGGCTGCGGTGGATCAACTACCTTCGGGCGGACGTCAAGAGGGGGAACATCTCCAAGGAGGAAGAGGACGTCATCATCAAGCTCCACGCCACCCTCGGCAACAGGTAACTAATGCGCGCCCGGCCTCCCTAATATAATAGTGCTAATCAACACTGAGAGCGAGTGTGCATCCTCCGACAAGAAAATACTTCCTCCATACACAGCATGGGGTGTCAATGCACGCCACGTATATGCCAATCTTGGTACTTAGCTTCCTCCTTTACACAAAGAAAATGGAAACCTGGTTGGACAGTATCAGGTTTGATCAAATATATAAAAATAGAAGTAATAATTTACGATGTGTATTATGAAATATATTTTATAATAAACTTACTTAGCTTGTTGAATATACAAATGTTGGTATTATTATAAATCTAGTTGATTGAGCGAGTTTCCTTACATTGAGGGAGTACCATGTGTGCTTATTACTTATAAACACGCTTCCTGACAAATTTTAAACTATTTTTGGGGAAAAAAAGAATCTCAGGCAGAAGACTAGAAGAATCAACACTCACAATAAAGGGCGTGCATAGGATCAGTATCGAGTAGTATAGTAACAAGTGGCTGCTTTCAATAAATGAAGCCCATGCTTATAATTTTAATGGCTGCCCCGATCGGTTGAGAGTTGAGACACTGCACCATATACACCATACACGTACACAGTACGAAGTAGAGGTTTTTATGAAATAGGCCAGGGCACACGCTGCTGGAATAGGGGTGTAGCAATAGTAGGCTAAATAAAGACTGCATGGCTGAAAACAACATGGCCATCCGATCCCTCTAATAGTAAGCAACTTCTCGCTCGAGCCCAACAGCCTCAGTAGTACTGCTCATATATGTACACGTGGGCTCTAGGGTACGCAAGCTTGCTCTACAGAGGGCATTCTCCACTTTGTTGGTCCGTCCTTGTCACTGGCTCACTGCATGTGTCGCTGAAGTTGTCCGTACGTGTGGCAGAAGCCAAAAGGGCGTGCTGCGTGTGAAGACCCAGTCAGATGCGTGTGATTTCCGAGGCCACGTGCACGTGCATGCATGGCAATATGCCAATATGGCATGATGCCCGCCAGTGCTCGTGGCTTCGTCGTAATTCGCACAATCTGGTACTAAGGGCTAAAAACAAACCTAATCGCAAAAAAAAAAAAAATGCCGATCGTAATCGGTCATATGGTCGTTACATATGCAGTGAGGAAATGCTCGATCTATAGGCACTTTCTCGTGTTCAAAGATATATACAATTAAAGGGAGAGATTAGAAAGCTACTATTAAGCAGTACTGTGATAGCATCATGCACATCAGCACATGTATATACTCCGTCCATTCCATAAAATGCATTTTTTTTGCTACATCAAATTTGTTTGACTTTTTTTTCAAAAAACTTATTTGATTTTGACTGAACATGGAGAAAAATATACTAGCCGTATTATTTCTGTATACTACCAAAAAAATTTACAATGTCAAGACATTTCTTAACAATAGATTTTTTAAATTAAACTGATTTGATTTACCGAAAATTTAGGACAACCAATACGATCAATAATTTAGAATAGTGAGAGTAGTATATATATAGCCATAATAGAAAAATCTTTCCAAAAAAAAACAGCACGCAAAAGCATGCGATTCGTCGACGACCAGCCTGTTCGTTTGGCTGTGGCTTGTCGTAAACGATCATAAATTTCCAGCCGGAATAGTATTTTTCTCTTACACAAATCAGCCAGCAGTACTTCTTCACGAACCAGCAACGAAACGAACCAGCCAATCGAACAGGCTGAGCATCTTTCATCTGACAACACTATTCACGAACGATGGACGGATGGAGAATCTCCAGTGTCCTGACTTCATTTATTTCTACTCCCTCCATTCCAAATTGTAAGACGTTTGACTTTTTTGGCCCCAAGTTTGACCACTCGTCTTATTCAAAAAATTTGTGCAAATATAGTTAAATTTAAGTCATTCTTGAAGAATTTTTATTAATAAACCAAACCACGATGAAAAAAGTGATATTTTACACAAATTTTTGAATAAAACGAGTGGTCAAACTTTGTATAAAAAAGTCAAACGGCTTACGATTTGAGATGGATTGAGTACTACCTGCCGGTCAGAAGGAACCGATCGAGTCCAGTGTCAGCGCGCGAATAGTTTTTTCTTCTTATAGAAGGGCAAAAGTGTGTGTGCATACACATACACGACGGTATATAATAGTAAATAAAAGGAAGAAAAAGCGAAGTGTTATGCACTGTAGCGGCATAGTGATGGTCGTATTATTCTCCCTGCTAGTATACAATCCCACAGCCCACATGGTCTTGCGAGAGCGGTAGCGCAACACTCATCAAAACATGGAGGACGGACGGAGAGCTAGCTAGCCTGCAGCTTACAAAGCCTTGGCGAAGCAGCTTAATTAGGTGTCAAATCGTGAGCGGCTGAGAGGAAGGAGAGGAGAGGACCACTTACGAAGCGACAGTTTATTCCAACAATCTCTTCAAGTCCTGAGAGCGAACTCGCATGCCAGAGCCAGACGACTAGGCCCTGCATGCTGCCGTGCGGACGGGCCACGGTCTTCTTGAGGCGCGCGCGCGCTCACACACACAGCGCGCACAGGGGCGCCTTTCCGTCCATCGATCTCCATGGCGTTGGCGTGATGGCGTGTCCGTTCCCTTGCCTCGCCATCGCCGCCGGTACTGTGCAAAGACGCACTTTGGCTACTAGGTGTCGGTGTTGTTTACTTCCTAAAATTTTGTAAAATTTTTCAAGATTTCCCGTCACGTCGAATCTTTGAACGCGTGCATGAAGCAATAAATATAAATAAAAAATAAAACTAATTACACAGTTTAGACGAAATTCACGAGACGAATCTTTTAAACCTAATTAGACTATGATTGGACACTAATTGCCAAATAACAACGAAAGTGCTACAGTACCATTTTCAAAAAAAAATCCACCACCTAAAAGGCCTAGGTCCCCTGTTGCCGTCATCTGATCGCGCGCTCGTGAGATGTCCCTGTCCATGGCCCCGTGGGATTAATGGAGGGCCCACGCCGGACGTAATGATGATTTCCCGCCTTTTATGTTGACACTGAGAGCGAGGTGCAGCTGTGGACAGCGAGACCGCGAGAGCTCCCGGCCCCGGCTCCGACCCACCGGCGCCTGCTTTGGACAGTATACGGAGATTTCATTCAGCCTGCGCTAGCTTCGTAGCTCACGACGTACACGGTCCATCGATGGCCGGCCCGTCCGTCATCCTTCTCCGTACGTAAATTATGTATACGAGTACTGTACATTATAGCGCCATACACACGCAGGCACATGATTACAACGGCCTACGTCATGAGCGGCGCGATCAATGAGTGAGTTGCACTAAAATTGTAAAGTTGCATCAAAAAGTACTATATATATACTACTACTATATATGCTGTACTCATGTTACTAGTAGGAGGTTAAGAAACACGCAGCCTGTTCGCTTGCTCGTAAACGATCGTAAATTTTCAGCCGGGAACAGTGTTTTTCTCTCACACCAAACCAGCTAGCAGTAAATAATCCACGATACGATACGGCCTCTCGAACAGGCTGACGATGCCACGCACTGTAGTCACCAGTGAAATGTCGCCTTCGGTTCTCCTGCAGTCGGTTGTCCTTTTTGCTGTGCCGTGCCGTGCGTGTAATACTCCTACGAATCTGCCAAGTGTGCAACAAGCAGTTCATTGTCACTCACCAGCATCGCCCTTGCGATTTAATGACGTATTTGCTCCGATGCCTGCATGCAGGTGGTCCCTGATCGCCAGCCACCTCCCTGGCCGAACAGACAACGAGATCAAGAACTACTGGAACTCGCACCTCAGCCGGCAGATCCACACGTACCGCCGGAAATACACCGCCGGGCCGGACACCACCGTCACCATCGACATGAGCAAGCTGCAAAGCGCCGACAAGCGGCGCGGCGGCAGGACCCCGGGCCGGTCGGCGAAGATCGCCACCAACACCACCACCACCAGCACCAAGACCAACAAGAGCAAGCAGCCGGACCCGGAGCCTGAACCGGAGTCCGGCGACGCGAAAGGCGCGTCGTCTAGCCCGGGCACCGCGGCGACGTCGGCGGCGTCGAGCCCGCGGCACAGCGACGGGGCGCGAAGCGCCGTGGTGGACCCGGATCCGAAATACCAGCCCAACAGCAGCAGCGGCAGCACGGCCGAGGGGCCCTGCAGCGAGGACGCGACTGGGCCGTGGGAGCTCGACCCGATAGAGCTCGGGGACCTCTGGGAGGCCGAGAGTGAGATCGACGCCCTGATGTCGTCCATAGGCGCACCTCTGGAAGGATTTGACGCGGTCGGCGGTGAGGCCCAGGTGGGCGACCTGTTCGACATGGACATGGACTGGGATGGCTTCGCGGCCCATCTATGGGGCGGGCCGGAGCAGAACGACCACAGCGCGGAGCTGCAGCAGGCCGCCGAGCCGCAGGCTGCTGCTGCGGCCTGCACCCCGGACGAGCACGAGCCGCAGGCTGCTGCTGCTGCTGCTCCTGCGGCCTGCACCCCGGACGAACACGAGCCGCAGGCGGCGGCGGCTGCTGCTCACGAACACGAGCTGGAGGCGTTCGAGACTTGGCTCCTGTCCGACTCGTTCTGACAGTCCCGTCATCAGACCAACCAGGTAGCCAAATGATCGACGCAGCTAGGTGTTGTTCGTGTGTACAGCTCTTGTAGATTTTGTTTTCAGCTCGTAAGGCTGTCTCCAACATGAGACTCACTGTGGAAACTAAACTCAAAATTGGTCTCCAACCCAATATATATATATCCTCTAACAGAATACCTATATAGAAGACCCATTTTAGGTGCTAGGAGAGGCATAACCTAAATCTGAGTATCCTATCTCTTGGAGACCCATTTGCAGAAATGGTTATCTTTTGAATCTTGTTGTTGAAGAAGACCAAAAATAGGTATTGAACCATTTGCCTGTAGCGCTACCCAAAGGATGAATGAGTCTTGTATTTTGGATCGCGGCTGTTGGAGACAGTCTAATAACCAGGTGTTGTTTCGTGCATGCGTATTGGCATGTACACGTTTTGGTGATTATTTCAGTTGTAACATTTACTATACCTATTCAACTGTAGAAACTACAGGGAATTTGGGAGTGGTAATAAGGGGCTGTTTGGCGTGACTCCGCTCCATGCACTCCCCTGTCGGAGCCGGAGCCCTTCTGCCAGCGCCTGAAATCATGGCTTCGCCTGCCATACGAAGAAATGGCTCCTCATTCTGTGACCTGTGTTGTTAGGTGCGACTCCACTGCTGGGGCCAAAGCCGCACCAAACAAGCCCAAAATATGAGAGAACTCTGAGGAAAATAAATGAGTTGATGGACGATTTAGCCTCTAAAGATTGATTTATTTGTAGTACAATTTTTTATGGTAGGAATCTACTTATTCAGTAACATAGGGAGTATTAAGCAATCCTGTGATAGCAACATGCACATATATATACTATTTCCATTCTATAGAATGCAAAAAAAAAATTGCTACATCAATTTTGTTTTAACTTTTTTTTGAAGAAACTTCTTTGATTTTGACCCAACATGTAGAAAAATATACAGGCAATAGTATTTATAATACCAAATATATAAATACAATGTCAAGATATTTTTTAACAGCAGATTTAATGTGTCGTAAATTTAGGACAACCAATACGAACAATAATATTTAGAATAGAGTGAGAGATAATATAGCTATATCTTTCCCTGGTACAATACACAAGATTCTTTCGAAAAAAGAACAGTATCTAAAAATACTATTAACGAACGATGTAGCTAGTTCATTGTCCTAACTTTATTGCTACTCCATTTGTTTCAAATTATAAGTCGTTTTGATTTTTTTTATTTATTTTGCTATATATCTAGATAGTACTGTCTTAGGGAGTTAGAGCCGTTTTTTAGACCGTTTAGCAAAACAACTCAGGTAGCCATAAGAGTAAAAGGTCCATAATAATTTTTCTTTTCTTTTCTTTTCTTATCCGTTCCCAACGGCCAGCGTTTCTTTTCTCTCCCCTTACTCTCTCTCCTCATCCTCTTACTCTCTCTCCTCATCCTCTCCCCAACCGCTCGCCTCCTCCCGTAGGCTGCAGACGCAAGGAAGAGCCGGCGCTGTGCGCGGCGCTCGCGACCCCGCAGTCCGGCGACCTCACGCCCAGCGGCCCCGCAGTCCGGTGACCTCGCGCTCACCTCGGCGGTCACGCGCTCCGGCGAGCCAAGCCCGGACGACGGCGCCGGCGACTGCGCGCTCGCCCTCCCTCCCCGCATGCGCCTCCCTGACGTCGGGGGCAGACTCGACATCCACGCGCTGGGGTCCACTGGTGTCAGATCGGAGCTGGGAGAAGCTCCATTTTCCAGCTTCACCTGCCGCACTGTGCCTGTGAGAGCGCAAAACGCGGAGCTCCTCCGGTGAATCAGTTGAGGAAACAGGCGTTTGGCTGCAGGAGCTGAGAAACGGCACCCGGAGCCAGTATGTACACACGCACGTACGCATGCACACAGACGCTATCTGATGTAGTGATGTGATGTTACTGCTAGTACTATGTTAAGAAACACGACGCCACGCACTCTAGCCAGCCAGTGAAACTGAAATGTCGCCTTCGTTTCGCGTGCAGTATTTCGGTTGTCCTTTTTTGCTGTGCCGTGTAATACGGAGCCGCCAAGTTTTACAACAAGCAGTGATCACTCAGAATCGTCCTTGCGATTTACGTATTTGCTCCGATGCCTCCATGCAGGTGGTCCGTGATCGCCAGCCACCTCCCCGGCCGAACAGACAACGAGATCAAGAACCACTGGAACTCGCACCTCAGCCGGCAGATCCACACGTACCGCCGGAAATACACCGCCGGGCCGGACAACACCATCACCATCGACATGAGCAAGATGCACAGCGCCGACAAGCGGCGCCGCGGCAGGACCCCGGGCCGGTCGCCGAGGAGCGCCACCACCACCAGCAGCTGCAGAAAGAGCAAGAGTAAGCAGCCGGACCCTGAGCCTGAACCGGAGTCCGGCGACGCGAAAGGCGCGTCCAGCCCGGCCACCGTCACCATCGACATGAGCAAGCTGCGCAGCGACGACAAGCGGCGCGGCGACAGGACCCCGGGCTGGTCGCCGAAGAGCACCACCAGCAGCAGCAAGACCAAGAGCAATCAGCCGGACCCTGAGCCCGAACCGGAGTCCGGCGACGCGAAAGGCGCGTCCAGCCCGGCCACCGCCGCGACGTCGGCGGCGCACAGCGATGACGCGACTGGGCCGTGGGAGCTGGACCCGATAGAGCTGGGTGACCTCTGGGAGGCCAAGAGCAATGACGCCCTGATGGCTATCGGGGCTGGCCACGATTCCACGGTTACCCCAGAAGGATTGGAATTTGACGCGGTGATCGTTGAGGCCCAGGTGGACGACCTATTCGACATGGACTGGGATGGCTTCGCGGCCCATCTATGGGGCGGGCCTGAGCAGAACGACCAGAGCGCGCAGCTGCAGCAGGCCGCTGAGCCGCAGGCTGCTGCTGCGTTGGGCTCCACCTTGGTGGACCCGGATCCGAACCAGCCCAACAGCAACAGCGGCAGCACGGCCGAGGGGCCCTGCAGCGAGGACGCAACCGGGCCGTGGGTGCTGGACCCGATTGAGCTCGGGGACCTCTGGGAGGCCGAGAGTGAGATACACGCCCTGATGTCGTCCATAGGCGCACCTCTGGAAGGATTTGACGATCTCGGCGGTGAGGCCCAGGTGGACGACCTGTTCGACATGGACTGGGACGGCTTCGCGGCCCATCTATGGGGAGGGCCGGAGCATAACGACCACAACGCGGAGCTGCAGCAGGCCGCCGAGCCGCAGGCTGCTGCTGCGGCCTGCACCCCCCCGGACGAACAGCTTGAGGCGTTGGAGACTTGGCTCCTGTCCGACTCGTTCTGACAGTTCCACCATCAAACCGATCAGACCAACCAGGTGGCCATATGATCGACGCAGCTAGGTGTTGTTCGTCTGTACAGCTTTTGTGGATTTTGTTTTTAGCTCGTAATAACTAGGTGCTGTTTCGTGCATGGCGTATTGGCATGGACCCTTTTATTCTTCACATTTGCTGTAGAATAGAGAGCAGAGAGTTGCATGATGCATGGCATGTAAGGGTAGTAGTAACCAGGTGCTCGTCCATCTCTCAGTGAAGTGAAGTGAAGACCAATAAAAGCGCAGCAGTAGACGTTGCTGTAGCTTGTAGGGAGGCGGCCGGTTTGGCAGTGTGTGCTATGGCTTTGTGAACAGGGATGAAAATGTTCCTTGTGATCTGAGTCCTGACAATCTCCTCGTTGGAAGAATATGCGAAGACCCCTTGACAGAGCTAGCGAATGAGCAACGCTGCACTGTCTCGAAGCTGAATGCCTGAATCATCGCATCGGCTGAAGGAATGAGCCGAACTTTCACTGCTCTACTAGACATTTTACAACTGTTACAAGTACCCATCTGGCTCGTGAGCAGTGAGCTCATTCCTCCTTGGATCAAGTGAAGGGATAGCCGACAGCAAGCAATGACACAGCACGAGCAGTCGAGCACTCCTGCTGGGCGCAGGCATTAATAACTGCGTGTATAGGCCGCCGCAGTGAACAGCTTGTGGCCGTGGCCTGCGTCCACCTCACATGGACACATGGTTCCGTGTCGACGCGAAAAAGGTTGGAGCAGGTTGGTACCGTGCGCGCGTGTACTGCGTACAGCCGGATAAGCTCTGCTCAGCGGATTTGTCCCTCATCATAAGATCCTCTCCTTCTGATTAGGAATACATATAAACCTCTAGTGCTAGCTGTCAGATCGGAACATCAGATGCTGGACAAGTGGACATGCCCAATGTGTTCTTCGCATCCTCACACGAAATCCGCCTTGGCCTCTGATTGCAGCCCCCTCCGCTCCGTACCGTCCCACAGACTCACAGTGCATCTCGCCAACGCGTTCGCGGTCGACGTGGTAACCATTCACCAAGCACTTCACTTATTTGCCCTGAGTGGCCGAGTCCCTGACGATGATCATATCAAGCACCAGCAGCAGCACGGGACACACGACGATTGGCAAATGAAAGGAGGTGTCGCGGATCAGTCACAGGGGCATTCCAAGCTACGACGGCTCTGGCCGATCGGGCACGTTCTCCCGTCCCGTCAGGTCTCGCTCTGCACTGCACTGAACTGCACACCGCCAGTGGCCGCGCCCTGCTGTGCCGATCCAACCCAACTCCGCGCGAACTGCCTGCCTTGTATTACGGGCGGCGTTCGGTGGCCGGTCAGTGTCCGCGGCTGTGCGACCGCGGCAGCCAACAGTCGCCGCTTGCCCGGCACGGCCGGGGGCAGACCGATCGGCCGTTTGGATCGCGCGATTGATGTATGTGTGGCCGGCTTAGCCTCCGGCAGGCTTCCCAATCGAAACGTCTTCCTCCGAGTCTTCCCGGCGTCAGATTTCTCAGGAAACGGGTGGGGGTGGCAATCTGTCGCTGCCGCCGTTACCATCTGGCGCTGCAGATCGATGTACCCATAGTGCCCTAGGACATGCTTGCCATGTTCTGCGTCTGTCAGTTGATTTGCCACGGTACATTCTCCCCCTGCCCAATAGTCGCTATGAAAAAGCAGG